GTTTTGTTTCAGGACAATGTATCTCTTGGGTTATATCCCAAAGGACAACCGACTGTATTTGGGTGATAAAGAGCTAAACATTGTTAGCTACTCCYTGCTGGTCTCGGTGCTTGAATATCAAACCGCTGTGATGAGAAGAGATTTTGGTATGGCCGACAAAGTTCTGCCAACGATTCCAAAAGAACAGAGAACCAGAGTTGCACATTTTCTTGAAAAACAGGCAAGAGAACTATTTCTTAGTCCTCAGAAATGTGTTTCTAGTAGTGTGTATTTATTTGAGAACACTCTAATATTTGTTTAGAGGGTTTTTGTTAGAACATCTAGGATATGGTTTGATGTGACAGACCACAGTTTTAGTTTCTAATTTTTATTTCAGGGCTTTAAACAACAAGCCCTTGCAGTATCCACGGATCCCGAGCATCGTTTTGAACTTGCTCTTCAACTTGGAGAATTAAAAATCGCCTATCAGCTTGCAGTAGAAGCAGAGGTAAACATAAACTTTTGGTGATTCACATGAATTCTGTGCAGTAGAATGAATCTCTGAGGCCCTGTGTTTGTGCCAAGAGAGGGCAGTGGAATGTGGAGATGCAGAATAGGTTTCTAAATTCTGTATTTACACTCTCCCAACTTGATATGTGAGTTCTGCTTCTGTTRTTCAAAGGAATCTAAGCCCTGTAGTGGGAATAGGGGAACGTTTGCTCAGTAAGCAACAGGAACTCCTGGATAAGGTAAAACTGAACCAACAACCAGTCCATAATTTGCGGTTTTGATCGCTGAGAGTAGAAATAGCAATGGTCTCTGAGCCCTTGGCAAACTTCTAAGCTATTTCTAGGAAGACTGACAGGAGGGGATATGGCCCATAGCCATTATTCAGTGGAGTGATCTTAATGCTTCTGTAGTAAAATCATGAAGTTAATCACAAAATGATGACTTGAAGGCAAAATGCTTTTATGTTCTAGACGTTAATTTTGGAGCTTTCGATAAAAAATAATACTATCTTGTTATCCAAACTTATTTCTACCTTCTTCCTTGATGTCTAGTGGAAAACTCTTCTATTTTATATAATGATATAGCTGTGTCATGATCTGTGTTCAGAACTAGTGTGTATTTTGAAGCTGTAAGAGTTGTTAGCATCTCAAAAGGAGGGCAAATATAATGATGAGATAYGGTATCTAAACAGATCAACTTTAAGTCTTTATCGAAAGATCTTAAAATCTTTAAGTGCCATTCAAATATGTGTTTTTCTTTTTTCCCCCCTTTCCTCCTTTCCCACYTTTGTATTATTAGTCAGAACAGAAATGGAAGCAGCTTGCTGAGCTTGCCATTAGTAAATGCCAGTTTGGCCTAGCCCAGGAATGTCTCCACCATGCCCAAGACTATGGAGGTCTATTGCTCTTGGCTACGGCTTCAGGAAATGCTAACATGGTGAACAAGTTAGCTGAAGGAGCAGAAAAAGATGGCAAGAACAACGTTGCTTTTATGAGCTACTTCCTACAGGGGAAGTAAGTATCAAGCAGCAGATTGATTGTTCTATTTTCTGAAACACAGAAGACTTTTTTTTTTTTTTTCAATTTAACTACAAAACACCAAAACTTAAAATTTCACGGAGCAAGATAGTAATAGCTAGTGGATAGTGGAAAGATATGATGGCTACTTCTTTGTAAACCTAATAACTTAATAATGTCATAGAATAAGCAGCAAATCTATTGCAACATCTGTCTTTGTAAAACATACTGGCTAACATGGCATTTTACAATCTTTTAGGCTTGATTCATGTTTGGAACTACTCATTAAAACTGGGCGTCTGCCAGAAGCTGCTTTTCTTGCACGGACGTATTTGCCAAGCCAGGTTTCAAGGTAACTTTTAAAAACACATGCAAAAAAAGAATATTACTACCAAATGAGCTGTGTACAGCAGATTATTGTTTGCATCCCCAGGGTGGTGAAACTATGGCGGGAGAATCTTTCTAAAGTCAATCAAAAAGCTGCCGACTCCCTTGCTGATCCTACAGAATATGAGAATCTCTTCCCTGGGTTAAAGGAAGCGTTTGTTGTTGAAGAGTATGTCAAGCAAAGTCTTGCTGACTTGCGGCCAGCTAGGGAATATCCTCTTGTCACTGTAAGTAAACAGTGGGCAGTTGGTGCCTTTTTTACTCCTCTGAAATTAAAAACTTTTCTGTGTAAGTTTAGATTTGAATGAGTCAGTGAAATCACTTTTGTTCCATAAACACATGTTTATGTTTTTAGCCAAATGAAGAAAGAAATTTACTTGAAGAAGCGAAAGGTTTTGAGCCTCCTAAAGTAATGGCATCTCAGGTCAGTATTGCTGCTAATGAGTGAAGTTTAAGAAAGAAGCAGCTTTGCTATTGTACAAAAACATCTATTCTGGGTGATACTTTACCAATAATGGACCAACTGTTGCTCTTGTTGACGTTATTGAAAGTCATGTGAAAACTGTTCCTGACTTCCACATTYGTTTTGTCTCAGACTTCTCTTAATCTACTTTTGTAACTACTCACTTCTTCACTAAGAAATTATTTCTTACCTGTGGTAACTTCACTTGGATCATCTTTTGTTAGAACAGAGGGAAGTGTCTATTAAAGTGCATATGAGTAAAGAGCACGTTCTATTGCATTTAATTTTCTGCAGCATGGAATTACACATACATTTTCCATCTTACCTGCTTCTAACACTCTAAAAGTTCAGGAGTTGGAACTTGTTAACAGGTGCATGTCACCAAAAAAAAAAGAAAAGGAAAAAAAAAAACAAGATAACCCTCATAATTCTATGTCATGACAAACRTTTAAACACTATTCACTAACTGCCTAGGAATCCTGCTCCATTATTTGCAAGTACTTCCTAATCACTGTCACAAGTAACTCAAACTGATCTGTTTGATCACTTTTGTTACTTCCATGTGGTTTAGTGACTTTTTGAGTCTTCTGTGTTAAAGCAAATGTTATTTAAGCAAATGCAAACTTGTATCTGTATTTGTGGAAAAGGATACAGAAGTAGCTTTGTAAATGTAAGAAAAATGTTTACATTTTACAGAAGAAACCATTAATTTGGCATTTGAGGCTGAAGGCCACTGATGCTGAACTGCATCATTGCACTCAGTTCATGATTGCGTAGGATGTCCCCACCCGGGAACCATCCTGTACCAATTGAGGATGAATAGGCAAAGGTCTGCACKATGTAGTTATGTAAAGAATGTACACATGACGGATAATACCGTTGCTTSAATATGCCCCTGATGAATTATCTTAACCTCAGACTTGCATAGCAGTAAACGAAGAGGAATARAAGTTTATTACCTGTATTAGAGGGTAAGGCACACAGATCCCAGCAACTGTACTAAGAACAGTTAAGAGTGGACCTGTGTTAAAAACATAKTCAAGTTTGTGCCTGGTCTGTGACCTCCAATTCTACTTGAATTTGCTTAGAACAGTACACTCTTAAATTGAGGTTCAGCTTTGAAAAATATATCCMCTTTAGCAGCGAAGGAAAGAAGCCTCCACATTAGTTTAGTGCTATTTTCAATTGTTTCTTGATAGCTACCCCAGACAGAATTTACATTCCTGTAGAAACAGTGGACTAGTTCTCCAGAAATTCAGCATCTGCTCAGYCACATCATTCTGGCAGCTATGCTGCTTAGGAAACTTCCTCAGCTACTACGCGGCTGTGAAAGCAGATGCTTGATGGGGTCACTTGACTGTTGCCTCTTTTCTTGCCTTTGTAAGAAGTTAAATTCAACAGAACTTATTAACAATGTCATTTTCATCAGAAGCACCCTGAAGAATCAGTTCTGTCTCCTAAACCAGAAGTGMCGAAGTTGGTTTCACAGAATTCTGATCTACTTTCAACCCGAGAACAGAAGGTACTTAAAGATGAACMCATATGCTAGTACAGCACTGAACTTGTTTTAGCCTATAACCTAATAACAAATCCAGCTTAGATGAGGTGTCATTAGTGCCAACCAGCCATCTTACCTCCAGTTACAGCGCATGGATTCCTCTCTATTGTATGCAGGGAAGCTGCCCTAACCTTGTGAGCTTTGAGAAGGAAAGGGGGGGGAAAAAAAGGGCAAGGTCAAAAAAGAGTGGGTCAGGACATTGTAACAAGTTACCACTGAAAGGGGGAGTGCGGTGGGGGTTTGCACTTGTTCATGTCATGAAGATAGCTTAGGGTTCTGCAACTTACTTGAGTACCTAGGTTCAGGTGTGTTCAAMATGTATTTACTGTGCAGAACAGAATCCAGTTACCACCCATGCTGGCCAGCATATAACTGTATTAGTATTTCCATAATCTGGTCTTTCCTTTTCCTAGACTCTTCTGGACCTGGAAGATGATTTAGATAACTTGGATCTTGAGGATATTGATACAACAGATATCAATCTGGATGAAGAGATCTTAGATGAGTAAACTCGACTTTTTAAAGGACCAAATTGCATACTCAAGCTGGCTGAAGTCAGGTGGAGTGCACCTTTTTCTTTCCTTTCCCTAATCAGAAGGTGGACTATGTAACATGAAGAGAAAGGGGCAGACCTAACACTTGCTTAAACAGCATCTTYAGTCAATCTTAAAAAGCTGTATGGAGATCTAGTCCTTCGCCTACAACCAACTTTTTCATTTATTAAGAAGCTAATAAACTCTTTTAAAGAGAGGATTCCTGTGGTTTTAATTATTTGTAATTTGAATATGAAAWAACAGTTGAGATAATCAGATTTTAGTTAAGAGTGCTGAGGGTAATAAAGTGTTACCACTTAAATTAGTCTTAGATGTATTGTATAAGCATCTACATGAATATAGCTAAGTCTATTTAGCAGCTGTGCAAGCTCACCCATTTCCAAATGATCCACTTCTGCAACGCAGTGAAATGAAACATGGGCAKCTGTTCAGGGTAAAGATGTACCCAGAAAAGAATTAAACTCTGTGACTGTTGTCCATTGAAAGCAACAAGCAGCAACTACACGTTCATTTATAATATTTAAAAATCTCTGGTTTATTGTACAYTTTCTTCAGCACACAAAACAGTCAGAAGTTTTTATTGGAGAATCCTGTACAGAGAACACTGATGAAGGCTGAAGGTTTATTTCATGAAGCTGTARAAGTAGCCATTGCTTCTTGATAAGCCTGAAGGGCCAGTTGGATATAGCCTTCTYTCTGGGATTCAGTTTTCACAAATACCTATAAACAAGGTATGAGAGAGAATAATCTACAATTACCCCCATACAAGCCCAAGGAAAGTAACAGATGTTGGGTGTGGCACCAGAATATAGCTGAAGTGTTGCCCCTTGATATAGAAAAAGGTACATATACAACACTTCTCCTTGAATATCTGTTTTTTTTAACGAAAAACAGTTCTAACACTCATTAACTAAACTGTTCGTGTTTGAGGACTTGCCCCTTTATAGGTCATGAGGAAAGCCTACCTTGATCAGGTCCACTCCCTGGAGATTTCCTTCTTTAGCTTCTTTTGCAGACGGACAGTCCGGATGGAGCATATGATACAGGGTGATTAAGCTTGTAGTGTCATCCAGCCTAAGCAAAGAAAGACTCAGTTGCAGCAAATACTTCCTGCAAATACTTCCACTTTGCTGGCACACTACTTGGTTTTCACCTGCAGTGCCATTAWAATATAATCTACAGGGGCACCCTCTAATAATCTGCAGTGATGGCAATGCTCACAGAACACCAGATCTACAGAACACCAGTTTATACTAAGTCACACAAAATAATCAGTGCTGTACCTTAAGCCACATGAAGTGCTCACCTCAACGGAAGCTGGAACCTACTTCAAATAGAATGAATTACCCAATGACAATTAACACAACAGCTAGGCCAAGAAGCAGTTTTCTGGCACCGATTAGTGTCCAGCATAACAGACAGAACTAGTATTGCTGTTGTTTTTGGCAACTTAAGATCCTGGATGGTGGAGTATCTTCTCCAGCCACACACCTATTTCTGCTTCATGTAGTTTTATGCAAACAAATCACTTATTGTAGTTCAAATGCAGCTTAGGGTAGGTGTTGTAAGATTTCAACAGCAACCATAACTGTAAAAGGCTCCTTTCTATAGAAAACTATAGATTTATGCCCCTGCAATTGGTGCTTCCATTCAGAATGAATGCTGTGTAGAACAGATGCTAGCGAATCATTTCATGCAATTAAAACCTTAAGGATTTTACAATAAGAGTATTTTCCTTCTCAAATAATAAACCTGTTTTCTAGTACTTCACATAATCATAATAAATATCTGGTAAGCCACACTTACAAGTCTCTGTGGAGCATATCTATTAGTAAGCCATCCGTTTTCTTTCTGTTTACTAGATACCATACCATTCCCCCAAAGTGTCTTGTTGAACGGAGCAGATCATACTTAGCGTGTTTCTCAATGTCATCATATGTCCGATGGTGAACCTATACATAAAATGGTTTGTTTCAGGAGCGTAACTAGAGCTTGTKCAAAGTTTTTCCCTGACAAATCTTCACTTACTTTAATCTAATTAAATTTCAAAACTCTCTAGCTGTAGGAATAAGTCACATACTGCTTCAAAACTTTATACATCTACACAACACTGGTAACGAGTTCTTGGTAACAGGAAGCTGTATAATGGGTATGTACTGGCCCTTTGGGGAGGGGGGGAGCATAACCTCTAAACTTTCATTCCACTGTTCTCAATTTATAATTATTCTTTAATAGATAAGAAAGATTACAGCCAAGAAGAGAAATGTTACTCTGAAAAAGCTACTTGAGATGCTGCTCACAATCAGTGACCTAGAACAATTTAGACATCAATTACATCCATCTAAGCACTACTTCATGCATCTGCAATTATTTTTATACCATTGAAAATACGATTTTTACAGGACCCTGTTTTACTCTTCTGCAAGAATGCAAAAAGCTCAGGATGACACATAATCCTTTTGGAGAAAAAAGGGCATCTGAACAGTAACTAKGATCCCCAGATAATACTGATGCTTACAAAATAAGGCCTAAGTTCAAATAGCACTCTATTTGTTATTAGGARCAAAGCAAGTGAACTCACTCTAATGTAGTCAGGTGAATCTGGCTCAAACTGTGCAATGCACATGTTAAGGATATCCTCATGGCGGTCTTGCTGAAACACAGTCTAAAATGACAGTTAAAATTAAATAACAGATTCTGCATCACACCATTCCAGCACACCAAAATCTAGATAGTAACCAGAATATTGTTCTCTAAAAAAAAAATCTGTTTAATTATAAGACAAAGTCGCAAAAAGTGTAGTTACTGCCTTGGTAACATGAACATGCTTTTCAAGGGTTTTTGTGTGTGCGTGTGTGTTTTCACTAGTTTGTGCTTCTGGAGTAAATATAAAATTTCATCAATACGTAACAACTAAGTGTGGGTTCACAGTAAGATAGTACAGTCTGGTTCAGTTTACCTGAAACTTGATTGAAGGAAGTCATATTAAACAACTGTTTAACACAGAATTCAAGCAGCGTAAAATACACAGGGTTATTAAACACAAATACTCCATCCAAACACCACAATATCTCTGTTAGAGAACAACTTATGCAAGTAATCTGTTTTCAGAACGAGGAAAAGCCTTACCACAAGGTGTTCATCCTGGAATATGACAGGAGGAATGACCCTGCGCCCTTCTTTAGGGAAGAAAATCTGAATCATTCTGTCTCGTTCTTCCCAGGTCGCTTTCCGTAACACGCCACTCGGCTCTCTAACGACGATGAACCGCTCCTGAAGGCGAGAAAAGCTCTAGTCGTCACACTCGGAACCACTATAAGACAGACTGTTGGTTGGGTAAATCCTACTACACCTACACTCATGCTGAACAGAGGGTTCTTTCTGGCAGATGTAGCATGCGCTGCATCTCCTTTTCTCCCTTTGTCTCTGCTAATTAAGTGCTAGATTTGCATTTTAATCTTAGCATGTAGAGATATCAGTGCATGTGTATACATGAAAAGCAAGCTAGTCTCATTTAAGATGTACACTAAAAAAATGCAAGCATAATGCAAGTACTTTTTAAATCTTCTTCCAGAAGTAGCAGCAGTAAGTAAGAGCCAATGCAAACCCCGTACCTTGGGCAAGGGCAAATGGAAACAAAATGTAGCTAAAATCCCACCAACATATTCAGAACCACTGACAAGTGCTTGATTCAGGGCTGCAGACTCAACGAATTCTTTGGGATGAGGAAGCTCTAAATACACTGAGGCAGAAGAATAAACATTACCAAGGTTCCTTGAGAGACCTCCCAAACCACAGGGGCAAGACACAGTGACTTATTTCCCACTGTCATCAATATTATGCACGTTGGGACCAGCTGACTTCCTAAAATTGTGATCAWGTTTTGGAAGTCCTTCTGGTCTCTTATTGCCACTTTAGACAGTCAGAAGTTTTATTATCTAAACCTAGCTCAACTTTCCACCGCATCTTCACACTTGTCAAGTACTTCAATCTTTGGGTCTACACAGAGCCTTAAGCAATTGAACGCCAGCTTCCAGGATGGATGAACTCAGCACTCCCAATAACCAACTTTGCAAATCACAAGCATCCCCTTTAAAGTAAATAACTATCATATAGCTCCCTTTCCTGCCAAGTTCCCAAATGACTGCTTTTGAGCACTAAAATACAATTTAGCATTATCCATTACAATATTCTAAAGCATGTGTTTCTCTATTACCTTGTACCAAAGACTTGAATTTACCAAGACTTGAGATTCCCCAGATTTTTCACACATTGCAATATTATATCAAAGCCTACAGCTTATTTTGAAATTACACAAGAAAAGCACGTAAAATGTATTTATACGTTAAGGTACTCACACGATGTGGAATGGAATAAGTCAAATCAGTAAACACGTATTTTGCAGTTTCAGTTCCTTCCAGGATTTTGTCTTCTGCTAATACATCATCGATCGGCTCCCGTTCATTCAAAACAGGAGGCATTCGGAGTCTTTCCTTAGCTTCCGCAATAGCTTTGTTTGTGGCCTAATAATAACAGTTATAACAATAGGTTACTCGGTTAGTAATTACAATAATTACCTTTACATAAAAAAAGACATCTCTTGGCAAACTGGCATGCGATTTGGGGTTACTGCAGCCGAGCTGCCGGGCAGGTTTGCTCGGGGACACCACGCAAAGCCTCCCCGCGRCGCCCACCTCCTCCAGCTGCGCCTCGGTCATCAGCTTGTACGTGGGCGGCTTCAGCTCCTTCTTAACCGACTTGAAAACCTTCTCCAGGTTCAGCCCGGTCATTCGGTAGAGCAGGTTCTGAACCGCTTCATCGGTGAAGGCGGGTTTGGCGGCCTTGGGCGCTGGAAAGGGGGCAGTGAGCRCGGTTAACGCGACGCTGCGGCCCACGGGGAGCGGCCCCCCCGCCCACGCGCTCCCCAACGGCCCTAACGGCTGTAACGGCCGCCGCGCCGCTCACCTACCGGCCGCCGCGTCCTGGGCGCGCGCGCGCCGCCCCCACAGGCGCGAGGGCCCCGCGCGCCGCAGCCACCCGCGCGCTCCCAGCGCCG